ATTCTACAGACCTTGTTATAGAATTCAAACAGCTCCTGATGACTAAATTCTACAAACACTTTCTTCAGGTTCTGTGAAGGAAAAAAAGAAAAAGAAAGAAGGAATAAGCATACTTTTTTTTTCTTTTTGGTATTAATTCCAGTAATTCAGAACATGAGATTAAGCTACGTGAAACATAATGGTTGTGACAGTTAGTTTTCCTTCCGTTTACTACAATGTCCCTCATATATGCATATTCCTTTTCAGTGAAGAATCCAATACTACAGGTACACCTATTCTCCTGCTGCAAAGAATAATAAAATACTCTATGAAAATGATTTTGTTACCTTATTTTTAAGTCAGATAAAAATGAAAGATTACATTCATCTTTCTCAGCAGTCCGTCTAAGATCTGGTAAATACCATTACACAACGACAAAGTCAGTCACGTGTTTGATTGAACTTGCACAGCTATTAATGTACTGCACCGGCACAGAGCTAATACTTCCATTCGTTAATCTAACAGTTATGACCTTAGCATGCTGCCACTGCTATAGGCATCGATGTACAGATTCAGCCTAAGTTAACAATTAACACAACAGCTTCAAAGCAGTGCTTAAACACTAAAAAAGGAAAATAACACAACTGCTGGAAACTACTGCGGATAAAACAGACGGTGGTAATAATCCTCCACATGCAGGTGCTGATGTCTGTGGATAGGGGGGTTAAATTAAAATTTCTGCCCTTCTTAACTCACTTGCAAGAAACAGGTAGTTTAATGCCTGCTACTTTCAATCACAGTGCAGATCTATCCAGAAAAGCTTTATTCCTTCTACTTCGCTTTGTCAATTTACTTCTTTTAAACCAAATGCCTAACGATTACTGCACATTCTCCGTGTTATGGACTAGCCCAGCTGAAATGAAAACAGACATTCTTTTTGAACCTTAACAAAGCTCTGTGAAAACTGTATCTGTGGACACCTCTCCTCACAAAATATTATCAGCTGAAATAATGCACACATGCTAATTTTGTTTAACTGGTACCGACTTCGTGTACCACTTAAGTTGGTAGAAAAACGCTTATTTATCAATTTTGCATACAGACAAGGCTGTGGGCCAGATTCTGCGTACTCTCATACCAATGCAAGTCTCGATTTGAGTCAAACAATGCTGCCGAATTTGGCGCACCAAATGCTCACGAGCAGCAGAAGCCCTGGGAACTCAGGATAGGTATTGCCTGGTGCCTGCTCCTCAAAAGGAGCTGTAAGACACAGGAAAGGGACAAAATGACTGGGGCCAGCCTGTCTGGTGCAATTCCTCCTCCCCGCTCTGCAGAAAGAAGGATCCTTTCCAACAATTTCAGGAAGGCTACAAAAGCCTAGAAAAGGACCAGTGATTTGCATGAGAGACCAATCTTCCCCCTCTGGTGAGGAACAATGCAATTCTGGGAATCGTATGATGAATACAAAATAAAACTACCAGGACAGCAGTTCTCTTTGCCATGACTCCAGCTGATCCTCCTTCCAAAGAGCATAATGCCGTGACAGGGAAGTAAAAGCATTTTTAAAGGCTTTCTAACAGCTAAGAAACAAAGACAAAGCAAACAAGTGGTTTCTTCAGAAAAGAAAGCGGGTAGAGGAAAAGAAGAAAGATACATTAATAGCAAATGGATCTACCATTTCAGCCTGGATGTTTGTTTGGCATTTGCCGTTTCAGAAGGATTTTGGTGTTTGAATGGTAGGAAGAGGAACTGAAAAGAGGATGTTCAGAATAAAACGAAGATATCATATATCTGAAAGTTTATCAGTCACAATGAATAGTTGGGGTCATCTCTTGCATGGTTTCTGGCAGAAGAGCCTGCTGGATTTCAATACGACGGTTTTGCAATGCCTCCAGACAGGGGCAGGGGGTGTGTGACACCTCCAACCACCAGATCGCATTTCTCTGAGCCCTATGTCTCATTCTAGATGGGCATCTCCTGGTACTGCTTCAGATCAGCAAGCAAAATCAACTTCTCACACACACACACACAAAAAGAAATGCAAAGCTTGTCGTTCATATTTTCCTCTAACTACATTAATAACTGTAAGTTATAAGATAGGGTATGCAAATTAAAAAAGTGTGGTCCTTTTGTTTCAGGATCTTTTTATACTAAAAAAAAAAATCACGATGCCTTATGAACAGGCTGATATCTCTCTTCCCATTATTAGTTAATAATCACAGTCTCATAATTAAGACAAAATTTATGTTGTTTTGTGGCAGGCAAATGTCTGTGGAGGTCTAAAAGAAAGTATGCCATGCTAGGCTATGCTTCTGATCTGTGGGTGGGGTAGGAGTGTCAACGGGTGAGAGGATATAACAACCTTTTATGAAATACATTGTTTATCTGCACTTAATTCTCTGCTAAAACAGAATTGTTTCTGTCTGTAAAAACCTGGCGCATCTACTACACCACTTCAGCAGAAAACAGTGTGACAAAAAGCCACGCAGAAGTGTGGCACCAGTCAAAAATGTTATTTTTACAATATTAAATTTCTCACTAGTATGAGTCCCTTGAGGAAGGTGCAAAACAATCACTGTTATGTGATCAGGAGTTCCTATGTAGACCACAAAAACATCATATCATAACTAGGTACCTACAAGAAAAAGCAACATCTGAGCAGGCTGATGGCCCCCCATTTTTAGCTGAGATATCCATTACTCATTATTTGCTTTATTCTGTGTGAACACAGACAACCGTAATTAAAACAATGCATCACAGGACGAGGTTAGCATCCAGTTCTTTAACTGCTCAGTAAAATAGTATTCAAGGTGACTATATAGATAGAATATTGCGAAAGCCCCCATAGTAAGCAAATTCCTAACCTACTTTATGGAATTTTGCTCAGATAAGGATACAAAATTACAAACTGCAATAATTTTTCAACCATAACTAAAACATAGGATAAAAAAAAAACCAAAAACTTTTAGCTTACTGACTTAATTAAATGTCACTGTGCGCAGATAGAGTCTCAGCCTATTTACGAAAAGTGCAGCTAAGCTGCCTTCTTTTATCTGCACATACAGGTTTTCAGATGTTGTCTCTGACCTAGTATGTGCTTCCCAGAACGTAAATAAGAAAACAGCAATTTGCTTGATGTCTAACTTGTTTCTTCCTTCTATCAAGTATATCATTCTCTTTTCCTCTTTCCTGATAAACTTCCTCTCATTCCTCACCTTCACACTACTCTCTCCCTCATTTCTGGCATCTCATTTTCTCTTTGCTGTTATCATCTTCAGCAGAAAACTAAACTGAATTTATTCCCACTGTCACACTCAGTCACTCTAATAATTTTTCTAATTACATCCCAAACTTCGATGCTGTGGCAGTAAAACTCCTAGCTCCTACTTTTAACAGTTTTAGCCTTAGGGGTGACAGGTTAATAGCACCAGAGAAACGTGGCTGAAGATGTTAGTCTTACGAAGACAAAGAAATCTCTAAAATACCGAATGTACATTCTTTGGGCAGCTTTGAAAACGTGGATACAGGCTTTCTGTTTGATTCAATACATATTAAGAGTAGCAGGAACAGCACTGGAGTGATACCTTCAATGAGCTGAAGAGGTGATGTGCAGCATCTTCCGCTAAATAAAGTTGCTGTTAAGTTCAGTGTGTTCATCTGCCGTTAAACATGACAGAGCATTGCATTTACAACTGGAGAAGTCTGCATGAATTGCAGGTTCGCCCAAGACAAATCTTTAGATCACTCTGAATCCATTGCAAGGAACATGGTAATAAGTTTTCTGGTTTAACATATTTGGCCACATATCACTACTGAATGTATTTTTAAGTGTTAAAATTAAATTTTAGTGCCATTTTGCCTTTCCAGAACAAGATGGAATCTGATTTCATTCTACCTCTTCGCTCGCCCCAGTGTTGTATGATTTTACAATTTACAGCCTCCTGAGAACTGTGAAATTCTAATAAGTTTGACTGATTAGGGTTGTTTTCTCCCCTTACCTATCTTCTCATTTATTGTCTGGTATCATTTAAAAAGACATAACATCTTCACCGTTCTCTAAAACTGCTGTTCAAACCCAAATTTCCTTTGGGAGGTGGGAGGGGGTGGGAAGAGGGGAGAGAAGGGAAGGCAAAATGAAGATAAAAACTTCCTGCTATCCTATCCAAAACAGCCATTCTGAATGTATGGCTAATTCTACAAAATAGCCACAATCATTTAATACACACTTAGCTTACAACCACCAGCAAACAATCAGGCAAATATTTAGTTGAACATAATCATCAGCATAAAATGATGAAGATTCAACTACACAAGATGTAAAACAGCCTCCAATTTCCCATTGCCTCAGCAAACAATTTATTTTAAACATGAATACCTTCTTGCTGCAAAATGTTTCTGTGGAAACCATGCAAAAAAGGTCTCCTTAAAATACTTCAGAAAGCAGAGGCAAATTTCCGGTTATAATCAAAGGATTTGGTTTGGGGTTTTTTTTGTACTTTTTTTTTTTTTATTTAATCCAGTGCTCTAGATATTTCCATTTCAATAATTACTGCAAAAGGCTTTATTACTGATGACAGAGTTTTGCAATCTTATTTATTGCCCATCTGTATTCCACATATTTAACTCCCCCACCTCACGTATAAGCATAAAGCAAGGCACTAGGAGTTATAAATAAAAGGCAAACTTCTGGTTTTAAAGCTAACTTGAATATGAAAAATTGATATTGCTGTAATAGTTCTCAACTTCAAAGTTGTAACTACTTTTACGACGTTGCAAAATAAATGCCAAGTATTCTGAAGCAAACAGATGGAGGGACAGGCTGGTTTGTATATCTAAATGTCTACTGATAATGATAATGTTCTACGACTGAGCACATGTAAAAAATTACAGTACAATATTCAGGGAAGTTTGTTAATATAACTAGCTGAAGCAACACATACCACAGTCTCCATATTCTAATACAACACTTAATACCATCCTGAGACACACCTCAATTAGGTTTAAGAGAAGAATATTTTCACATTTGCTTTCCATTCTCCAATTTATTCCTATTAGATATCCTCAAAATCTCAGATATAATGGAAGGATATGG